CGATCGTCGAAACTCCGGTACGATACGAAATTGCAGACCTTGATGATAACTAAATCATTGTTTTCAGAAAATTATATTCCTTGTGGGAAGATAATAGGCATGGAAGAACTCTTAACATGAGCGTGAGGGGGAGATCTGTTGGGTGGTCTCGCCCATGTGTTAAGTGGTGGGATCGTAGGGGTTTATAATACAGTCCTAACTTTAATGCTAAGTGAGGTGTTAGAAGAGAAAAAGAAAAATTAGAGTCGTCATACTGTCACGGGCTTAGCTAGAATTGCCTAAGTCGTGATGCACCATTGCGGCCAAGACGCGAACTTAGTTTGGATTGCCTAAGTCGCGAAGTGCCCTTGTGATATGCGTTCGCAAAAGTAAGTCAAGTTGCAACCTCACTCAGGTCCCGAAGGACCTGTAAAAGAGAAAGTTGATTAGTTCGAAGAATGAGCGACGGACAAGTCCCGAAGTCTCGCAAAAGGGGAAGCTTTACAAGCAATTCAGCGAGCACCTTGCGTGCACTAGAGAAAAGAGAGAAAGAAGAAAAACAAGGACTTTAGAAGGTTGAACGAACAACTGCAAGTCCACAAACAGCTGCTCATCGGGTGCCGGGCGCGACAACAAGTTCCCGTCAAGGTAACATGCAAACTTGCGAAAGATTGTTCAACGCTCGACACTATACCGAAGCCCTATCCCCCATGGTGCCACCCGGGTGGTTCCAGGGTGCTGAGATGGCTAATGTTTCGCGTGCAGCAGCGGGCTGCAGAAAACAGCCCGTGACACGTGAAAACGGAGCTGTTTTAGGCTGTTTTGCTCGGTTCGGTGAGCGGTCGCACTGTAGCGCTGCAACTTGTTCGAACTTACATTTTTACAAGTAAAAGGACATAAAACCAAGCCAAAACATGCTGCCACGCAGCTGTACATGTAAACATAAACGACGAACGGTTCATTGAACAGAATTGTTGCGGGTGCACGACGACCGTTCGTGACAATACGTAAGGGGAAGAAAAGGGAGGTTTTCCTTTGGGAAGAAGAAAGCACGGTGATTGGATTAACTATCAATATTGTTGATCTTTGAGATTTCTTCTCTTAGTTTTCACTCTGGTTTTTTTTTTAACTCATTTGGGTGCCTGTTTTTTATTCTATTTGATATCCTTTAGTCAGTCTTGAAAGAGAATTTAGTCAACCCGTTATTTTTATAGTGGAAGAATTCATATGGCTTGCCCAAGGTTTATTACTTTATATTTGATGGGGAGAAATCTACTCCTCCAATCGTAGTTCGCCATGTGGTGGAGCCTGGATGAGGTGGTGACCACCGAAAGGCCAACAACAATGGTAAGCCCAGAAGGGAATATTCAGCCCATATTGTAGAATATTCCCTTGGGCCTGGCCTACTATAAAGGCCCACTCTTTTATTAGTTATAGAGGTCACCTATGAGTCTTTTTTCCACTTCGGCCCTAACTTGAGCATCGGAGGGATCGGATCGAGCACCTCACCTGAGTTTGGTCTTCCTGTAGGTTGATCGTCAAGCGTGTAGATAAGTTCCAGACTCCCCTTCTCAGACGTCCTCAGGCTCCTGCACACGTAGCCCAAGACCAAGTTGGGTTGATAGAGATGTCACCAACATTTCACACCATCAATGTCGAATGGTTTCACATAAATTGGTTTGCTTATTATTTGATTACTTATCTGTTGGCTTGTACACTGTTATTTGATATATATATATATATTGTTGATTCACATAAAGAGGAAAGAAGAAAACTTTGGTTCTTGTTGCTTCTATAGATTCAAGACATCTTTTCCCAAAAGAATGTTACCTTGTAATTTTACAAGGCGCTAGACTGCCGGAATGGTTGATACTAATACGCACAGAAATGAAAAAATACAGTGGATAACTTGTCGAATTATGCTTGATAACATGGTAATTTACTGTGTAGATGCCTTTTGTTAAAGTTCATGCCAATATAAATATTTTATGCATTTTCCGGTTTAAAGTAGCCATCAGTGCTATTTAACTACATGGATCAAGAGTTATTTCATTACCTGATCAGGTTACTGTAACTGATTACTTCTTGCTTTGGAGTATTTTCCCCCAAGTTAGTATAATGTTGAAAATCTCCAAAAATCCATGAAATGTTTTTGAAATGGAGAATCGTAGAATCGTAGAATCGTAGAAGCTAGTGAAGTACTATATAAAATTTAAATTTATTTTTCTGATTATGCAGGATAATCTTCTTCCCTCTTTGGCTATTTCATGGTGTTGTTGCACGAGGGAGATTCTCCTTGCCTGCTCCTTCACTACCGCATGATCGTCATGTCAGATTTGAGAACCTTTTTTGGAGAAATGTTCTTCTGTTCATGCATTTGTGCTTTTATTTAGGAGAGTTTACATGATCAGGCACTGAAAAGAAGTCCCTCTTTTCCACAGTGGGCACCTTCTCATGCTGTTGTGGCAACGCCATTACTAATTTCCTTCGAGTTGCTTCTTTGTATTTATCTCCAGGGCATCAGCGGTAAGTGAAAATAGATAGAGCAATATACAGTCATTAGCTAACCTAAATTACATACTCAAAGTATTCTTTTTCCTGCTGAAATAATGTGCTAGCATATTAGCTGTCTAAATATGTTCTAGATGCCTGCTTATGTACTTTACATAAGCACTATATTTCTCTTATCTGTCTCCCTAAAACATAGATTGTTTGCAGTTAATGGTGAACCTGCTGTTAACTTGAAGATTGTATTTATTCCACTGCTAGCCTTTGAAATAATCATTCTTGTTGACAATGTCAGGTAATTATGTTTTCGTTTTTTTTGTTGATGTTGTGTGCACAACTTTCTCATTTGTTGCTTTTGTAGTTTGAATTAATTATTGTAGAGTTACTAGAGATTCTATATTATAAATCTTCATGTTTTCATGGATATATACAACAACAGTTTAAAATTTGTTCCACTAATACAAGTTATATATGAAGAAAAACTTATATATAGAAGATGTGGAATGATTAATGTTAGTGATACGAAAAAAGGTAGAGGAAGACCTAAAAAGACTTTAATATAAATTATAAATAAATATTCAAATACTTTGAGCTTAATTAAACATATGACTTTTTATAGATCTTAATAGCAGCAAAAGATCCATGTAGTTGACCCTAAATAGTTAGGACCTTAAATAGCTGACCCTAAATATCAAAACAAAGTATAGTATTATATGTAGGACATGTCAAACATACATTATGCACATATGTTAAGCTGTTGACTTACTATAATGTGAATGATCTGCTTAATATTTTTTTAATATGTATAGGGAACATTCTTGTGATCGGTTGTGTGGATAATTGTTAAACAATTATCCACAACACTCGAGGTTCACCGAACCATAGAGTATTGCTCAGTACGGGCAGTATATACTGGTTCAATAGGGGACTGATATGGGCAATACATCAGTATGCCTCCATGTACTGTGTGTTAGTTCGCTTGATATGGTTTTGTACAGCTCGGTACATACTATACTGACAATTAGTCGGCACACCGATACAGACCGGCAAAGCGAAATATGACACAACCAATCATAAAAATGTTCCCTATATGTATTAAAAAATATTAAGGAGATCATTCACATGATAGTAAGTGAACAGCTTAACATATGCGCATAATGTGTGTTTGACACATGTCCTACATATAATACTGTACGTTGTTTTGATATTTTGAAGCAATGTTTTTTATCCCGGATGTCGGAATTATAGGAGTCCACTAGACTAGTATGGGTGTGGTCCATTCTGACATATGCTATGGACTGGGTATTTTTTCTGACATTCCATATGTCGGAACGTATTGCAGTACAAAAAGGATGCGTGAGGAGGAAGATGAGAGGAAGAGGAGAGTAAGAGGTGGAGAAGAAGGGGAGGAGGTGATGAAGAAGAAGAGAAGGGGGGAGATGGTAGAGAAGAGGACGAGGCAACAATGGAGAAGGATGAAGAAGAGGAGAGGAAACTTGAAGGGAGCAAGGGGCAGCAGGTGGGGGCTGGATATGGTGACCAGGGGCAAGGGTCCTAGGTAGTTGGTGGTGCGACGCACAATGAGCATGGGCAGACTATGTGAGGAAGAGAGAGAGAGAGAGAGAGAGAGATGTGCCATTGGTCAGTGAGGTGGGCTATTAGGGTTTTAAAAAATATTAAAAATTAAAAAATAATTAGGCTTATTGCCCCATCTGGACCTATTTTTAAGCCTGGATTGTGTGGTAAGCTCAGTTAAACAGTGTGTATTGTCTCTATGTGAGAAGGAGAGAAAAATGGGCAGTTGAAGGGTGAGGTGGGTTATTAGGGTTTTAAAAAATCTGTTAAGAATTGAAAACAAAGAATCAGGCTTCTTGCCCAATCCATGTCCATTATCAAGCCTGGACCAGGTGGTAAGCTCAGTTCACAGTGCTTACCAGACTGTTGGGCTTGGTTTGCTTCTCGACTGTTGGGCTTGGTAAGCTTACCAGACAGCAAGCCTTGTATCAGATTAAAACTGCTTGGTTGGGCTTGGTTTGCTTCTCGACATCTGATCGAACATGTAAATCCTGCCAGTACCAGTACAACCAGTAAATACCGCCTGTATCATACTGGTCTGAGCTGTTTTGTAATCATATTTTGGAGTATTCAACAAACTTTGCAAATTACTGAACAAGTGTAGGTTTTAACAACAATACCGTAAGCATTTGAAGTATTCATGCTTCATAGTAGATGCTAGATGTTGGTCTCATTTCTCAATGATACCTCTATATTTGATGGAGCCAACCTAGTTGGTATTGGGTACCCAGTTCTGTTCTTGTTATTCAAGCTCTAGTTTGAAAAGAATTAATCTAGTTACTTTGTTCCAAAGGGTTTCTTGGAAATTGAAGCAAATTGGGCAAGGCTAGTTTTTTGCATTTGGTACAATGGTGATTTACTTTTTGTCAACCAGACTGATCATGTGAGAGATTTTATTAATGAAGAATAACTGACTTTTTTTTTTGGTTAATTAGCACTTCCATTTGATGTTCTGGTCTCTCTTGCCTGACATGGTCTTTGCTCCATGTTCAGAATGTGTAGGACCTTAATGCCCGGAGATGAAGAAAGCGTGAGTGATGAAGCCATATGGGAGACACTTCCTGTAAGTATAACTGAGAGTTGATGTTGATTCAGTCATTGTGAACTTGATCCCGTTATATCATATGATGCACTTCATTTTTCTTAATTGTGACTTGCTTTAAGTTTGTCACGTGGACTTTAAACGTCATCTTGATGATAACTACTAAAACTTGCATCTTTAACATGTATAACATCTACGTTATGATGATTTTGATATTTTCTATGCTTTTTGTAGTTTTGTACATATCTCTTGACCACATGGGGCTTTAACTTTGTGGAATTTTAGAAACTTTGAAACATGGTTCGCCTTATCGGTCCATATTGATGTACCAACTAGTCATCGGTACAGTACGTACCGATATACTAACACATAATATAATGGGGTGTATCGATAGGCCAATATGTACCACTCGTACTGAGTGGTATACCATGGTACGACGAACCTTGCTTTGAAGATACCATTTAAAATGATTTTACTCGAGTTTTTAAGGTTCAAGTTCCCTCTTAATCGGGCTCACTAGATGCTTGATTCCTTATTATCTAATAGTACAATATAATACCAACATGGCTCTTACATGGTGACAAGTGCCATATGTAGGACATGTGGATCGCAACACTTATCTATGTAAAACTTGGTAGCTTAACAATTATCTTAATTTTAGAAGACATTTAGTAATTACACAAAGCTCCTGATAACTCTTTTCAGTTGAACCACCCATGAACAATAGTTTCATTAATCTCTTTATCATTTTGAATAATTGAGTCAATATATCTAAAGTTTTCTATTGAACTTCTTGTCCATCCATTTTAACTACATCCTCAAATTATTTTCTTAGTATATTGACATTATATCATAAATTTAGACTTAGTCCTATTTAATTTAATACGTTTATTTAACAATTTTTTTTTTCCATCATTCAAGTTTAAAATTAATTGCATTTGAACTTTCATAAATTTAAAAATATTATCAGCAAGTAATATACACCACTTAGGTTTACCTTTTATATGAATATTAAGTTTGTTCATTACCAATTTAAAAAAATAAGGATTTGAAGTTGATCCTTGGTGTAAATCCTATATTAAGGAAACTCTCTAGATGCAATCAATATAGTTCTTGTATTAGCGGCTACAATATCATATATATATATATATATATCTTTTGACATTAGTATATTTAGTAGATACAATTTTTTTTAATTCTACTTTAATAAATCTCTAGAGATAGGCTTTATCTAAGTCAATAAAAATCATATGCATGCCTTTCTTCTTCTCTCTATATTTTTTTAATTAATGGCTTTAATATATAAATAGCTTTCATGATAGATCTTTCAGTTGACTTTTTTTTGGACATACGCATGCCATTTCCTCCATTTTATCCTTGACTGGAATTACTTTTAGTTGTTCAGGAATGAAAGTATTTCCTGTTATTTCTTAGTGTAAGGATCTATCTCAGCATCCTCATCTCACTAGTGTTATTGGTTTAATGATTTTGGCATTAAACATGTTAGGTAGCCATTTTTCTGCTTACTCCACATGCTTAGGCATCTGGGATATAGTTCCTTATGGGGATCATAAATATTTGGCGTATAATTCTAACTTCTTGATGTTGATAAATAGTTATTATTTTTCTCCAGTGACTCATTTTTTCAAATTTAAAAGTTCACCTTTGCATCTTTTGCAGATCTTACTATATATGTATGTCATAAGCTTGCCGTTTTTAAAGCAATAATTCTTTGGCAAAATCTTTCTGGTCACTTCTGAAGGCATTATGTTACATGAAAATAAGCAAAATATTCGGATTGCATCTGTTCTGGATATTATAGGTTCTTTAATGTACTTTCCAAAGCCTATTCATACTAAATAAATATTCGGTGCCTCAGCACTTCTGGGTTGCAATCTCTATGGTGTTTCTCATTGCCGCTACCACTTTCACACTTCTTAAACTTTGTGGTAAGTCTATTTTTATCGTAGTTTTATGATTTTTCATCTCATTCACTGCTTGTTAGCTAGCTATGAGATTGACTTTATAGAATGTTCACTTCTCTTTTATGGAATATTTGTGGGATGCTTAACTCAAATAGAGCTCGTAGCTATACTTGCCACTCTTCTTGCTTATTTGGAGCTTTAATCAAGGGTGCGAACTTGGGACTTTGATTTGATCTGGACTCAGACAAGTTAACCTGAAACACTGTTCTTTTCTTGGATATATAGAATATGTGAAGAGAACCATAGCACACATATAATTAGAACTTTGATGTATCATTATTTTAATCTTTATAATGCTATATTGATGAAAGTATAGAAATTGACGTGTTGATATGAATAGTGAATCATGACATTCATTTGAATATAGATTATAGGCACAATGCTAGAATATGAAGAGATAGTAAGATTCTAGGATCGGCTGCATGATAAAATTTAGGAAAAGGGAAACACATATAATATTATCAGCAACCTAGTTGACTTGCAACATGATGGAGTCTAAATAGATACAAAAAAGACATGACATATTTAACACATTGGCATAAAAGTCCAGATTCATCTTACATAGTTGTTTGAATTGGTGTTCTACAAAAGAGTTTCAAATAAAAAGGCTGAGATTTGGCATGTTAACTAGGCAAGACAAGAATCCCTCTTAGGGGGAAAAAAGCACACCCCACAAACTGAGTTGAAAAAGCAAAGTTAGAATTGTTGGGAATGAACTTTACCTGCTAAATGCCTTCACATGCATTATTTACATGAGTCTAGACTCTAGACAATGTAGGATTCTTAGTTCGGTTACGCAGGTAGTTGTGGACATGATAATATAATAGTCAGTTTAGAGTTTATGTGACATTTACTTAAATGGGTCATTTTTGGGTTAGGCCTTATCATGTAATGTGTTTATGCAGTACATCGCTCCTTGTTACTGGATTTGCATGGAAAAATCAGACATGCTAGAACAATGTAATTCCACCTTTCATTTTTCTGGGATTGCAACCGTTTCAAGTTCTGTTATAAATGCAGAACTGAGTATTTTATTATATTTCAGATTCTAATGCTACTGGGTAATATATTGCAGTGACATCCTTTTTGTTACAGTACAACTACATGATATATGAAGTATGCTAGGTGATATAATGCTCAAGTCTGACAACTGCAGGTGATGTTGGAGCTCTTGGATGGTGGGATTTATTTATAAACTTCGGGTACCTTTTGTTTTAGTTTTTACATTTTTAATTGGGTTATGTTGTTTGTTTTATCTTTTCTAATATACAATCTTGCTTGTGCAGAATTTCAGAGTGCTTTGCATTCCTAGTTTGTACAAAGTGGTCTAACCCAATGATTCATAGACAAGCTCATTATGGAGAGCCTAGTTCATCCTCAGCAATTAGATATCATGATTGGAATAGTGGCCTCATGCTCCCTTCTGTGGTGGACCATGAGCAGGATAGGCTTTGTGGTCCACAAGATATAGGAGGCCATATAATGAAAATTCCACTTGTGGTTTTCCAAATTTTGTTATGTATGCACTTGGAGGTATGTCAAGTTATTGGTTGATATTTTGCTTTATACAGAAACTGTTTTCGGATTGTTGCTGCATTGCTGCAAAACAAAATAGATCAGTTATTTCAAGTGTAACACTGACTTAGATGAGTGACAAGCATGTTTCAGTGGAGAACCACAATGAAGAAAATGTATTTGATTAAAGAGGAAGGGTTGCATGTACTCAGTATGTCTGCCCATTGAGCAGTAGGTTTGTCATCTGCTACAAAAATGATAAACAACATGGTGATGACCATATCCATGCTAGGCAGTGCATGCACTGGTTGAGAGCAACCATTTCTGGATACACAAGAATTACATTGACAGCATGTTGATGAGAAGCCACTTTATGTAGGCTTTTGCTGATCAGTTTGTTTTTTTTATTCATAACCATGAATAACTATTTTGTCAACTTGTCCATGATGCAATTGGTATGGTTCTGATAGTCAAGAGACATAATGCAAGACAGTCTTAGTGAAATTAGTGTACATGAAATTACCTTTTAACTTTTAAGTACCTTAAACTTGCTTAACTACCAAATCCTTGTCCATCAGATACCTGCACATTACAATGTGTACATGCATATAAGTTTGCCACTGAGTTGCTATTGCTTGTCCGCCTTTCAGGGAACGCCATCTGGAGCTCGACATATTCCCATCTTTACCATATTTTTGCCCATATTTATTTTACAAGGTGCTGCTGTCCTATTTGCTATTTCAAGATTGGTGGAGAAGCTTGTTCTTTTATTATATAATCAATCAGTTGACGGTAGATATCTTGCTGTTTCATCAAGAGCACAGGATTGCTTCACTTTCTTACATCATGGCTCTAGGTAGTGTGATCTTTATGTGCGAGATGAGCTCTACTTGTTAGTTAACATGGTTTATTCTGTGAGATTTCATTAAACTTACTGTCAGAATGATTTAGACTGCTGGGTTGGTGGTCTATTGATGAAGGAAGCAAAGAAGAACAAGCTCGCTTATTTCATGCCAATGCCACTGGGTTTGTTTCCCTAAATCTGCACAATTATGAATTGCAATTTGTAACTGGGCAAATGGAATAATCTGAATTTATTCTTGATGTGAAGAATTACTGATTATAAGTACAGGATCCTAAAGGGTGTCACCTTTTTGTTTTATTTATTTACTTTATTAAGCCAGATATTACTTGTCTATTGATTGATGAATTGATTAAGATGTATTTTCTAGAGGTTTTATGGAGTGTATCATTGCAATGTTGTTTTTAGGTGAACAATTCTTATTTGATTTAATTTGCTTCACAAAGTGCTTCAAGTTTCTCTTTTGCAAATAAAACCATGGATAATTGATAATGTGCTTTAGTAACTGTTGTATAAGTATCATAATTTGACCCATACTGATGAACAATCCCTCTGACATCCTTGTGCAACAATCATGAGGTATCCTTTGAGCATTGCACTAGATCTGGTTAATTTGATAATTCTATTTGAGATATATGCAATTGATGGAATTTATGATAACATGGTATTGTAACTGAACTAAGATAGATGCCACAGGAGGAGAGAAGCTTGTGATGCCATTTGGTAAATGATTTTAAAGTAGACAATGATGGTATAAGCAAATTATCTAGAATGATCAATTTATGCTAAATACCGTTAAGGATAAGCTAAAATAGTTACAGTATTTCAAAATTATTTAACACCATTTAGACATACTGGGTTCTTTGGATCATTATGTTTGTACTTGAGAAGGCACTTTGAGGTGAGTATTGGAGTAAGAGATGTTAGCAAATACACAAGTAGCAGCTAAGTGGACAGAACTATTAAAAGCTCAGACTTGTACCTCTTAGATCATAGATAGTCCTAGCAGGTTGAAAGACATGTATGAGATAATTGTGGTGATCGAGGAAAGGACAAAGAAGACAGTGTATTAACAAAATATTATGGCAGCAGTGAGTCATGTTCTTAAGTTTCTATATTTGTCATGACTTGGTCTTATTCGTAATTGAGTATAAGATAACTTCTTGTACTTGACCTTATATTTGGATATAGTAGATGGATCTATTAAGGGTGTGAGACAACTAGCCATTGTAATGTACTCTTTCAGTATGCTAGGTCCTCGGATGTGTTCAGTGGTAAGCATGAATTGTGAGCATTAACATGATCATGTTTTATCTGCCACTGATTTAATGCATGTGAGTGCTGATAAATTTCTGAACGGGGAGGGAAAGTTTTATGCAGACCTTGATACTGAATGTTTCCAGAATTTTTTTCTTTTTCTGGAAACACATAAAAATTATTTCATTTAGAGCACTTACCTAGGTTAATTCATAAGAAGAAAACCTCAAAGTAGATGTAAGCAAGCATGAGCAACTTAGCAACTTCATATTGCAGTTTGTTCCCTCTTTTTGTACCAAACTTAACAATAAACACCAAAATAAGAAATACTTTAGAAGTTTATAAATAACAGATGATCTGAATGATCCTAGTGGACTAAAGTTTGACTGATCAAACTTCATAAAGCATGAAGATTTGGCATTCTGTTTATATTTTGTTATGAGTCTAGGTCCTCTTAATCTTAGGGGACTGGAAATGCAAGTGTACATGTGAGGTAGGCTTTATGATTGAACATAGTGGAGTTCAGAACATTTGACACCAATCTCACACTTCTATTTCAAAAGTCTATTCTTCTTGAACGTACTCCGTCTTTTGAGCTATGTCCTGTTTTCGCAGGACAAGGGTTTTGATCTGTGGTTTAGACATGCATGGAATTGTATGTGTTGGTGCTTGCGCTGGGTGATGTGCATGAATTATGTGAGAAACTGAGAATATCTAAAATGCTTATTCTGATTATGGAATTTGTAATGTTCAAGAATACTTGGATGACTTTACTCCTGAAATATGTCCCTGTTTGTAATGCACTAATTGGTAATTGCTATTTTAAATTAGACTTTGAACTGGCTTTCATTGCTAATCACCTGAAATGAAATAGTTATTGGTGCTTGAGATGTTCTAGTTTTTTCTCCCTTTTTCTTTTGTTTGTTTTGACTATGAGGTCTGATTTTCTTCTATATTTTTTTTACATAATGGGAGTTGTGAAAGATTACTATGGTTAAAATATTTTGTTGAGTTTATCATATACATAATAGCTAATTCTATGAGACCAGAGCATAAAAGTTGATGCTTTCTACACTGATATGTTTCATAATTCTTTAACAAACTATTGAATGCAATGGAATTGCATAGGTGCAGTGTCTTTCTCATGATTAATTTGTTATATCTGCAGATACAGCACTTTCTGCGGCTATTCGCCTGAGGTGGTGAAGAAAATGCCTAAGAAGGAACTTGCAGACGAGGTGTTGTTTCCTTGGTCTTATATTGTTGTTAGTCTTGAATTGGTCTTAAATTGGCTAGAAGCTCTTGGTCTTATATTATTGTTAGTCTCAGCAAATACTAGCAACACACTTGGTCATTTTGGCTTTATTCAATGAACCATTGTATCTCAGGTTTGGAGACTACAAGCAGCTTTGGGAGAACAAGCTGAAATAACAAAGTATAGTCAGCAAGAGTATGAGAGGCTTCAAAACGTATTGCTTCTTATTCTGACTTTTGTCTAAAACTCAACTGATTAACTTACTGATAGTTATGGATCCTGTATAACTTATCATAATTTCCTTGATTAGTAAGCATAACTTTGTTTTCTAGATGCCATGTGGTTTTTTTATCTTTAAATGCATTTGTATTATTTTCTAAGCTTTTTTTTTGTTTTGAATTATTAAATTGTTTCCATCCATAATTTATATCAAATTATACATATTGTAAGATTTATCTAATCTTTGTCCATGTTCTTTCAATGCAAAGTTTTGAATATAATGATTGACCATTCGTTGAAGAATGGGGGTCAGATTTGATGAGCTTAGTCAGATGACAAGGTATCAAGGATTCGAAATATATGGATCAGAGGATTGGACGTGTAAAAAGAGAAATGAAAACCTAAATATCTGATAAATCAGGAAAAAATAGATAAGTCTAAAAATAGAAAAATACTTTAGAAATAGAAATTCATAAAATTAGGAAAAGTACTTAAAATTTATCATTACAAATTCAGAAGAGATAATTACTGTTTTTTTTGCAATGGAAGGACAATTTTTTAATGTAATTTATATGACAATTTTTTTCTCCTAAAAACCTTTTGTGCATATCTAGTTTACGAGAGAGCCACATAACACGAGATAGTGTTTTGGAAGGATTTTTGTGCATACACCTTCTTGGAGGGGTTGTTTTCTCATGAGTACTGTTGGAACCCAGCTACTTGATCCTTCAATTTACAGGGTATGAAAAAATTCCTGTTATCTCCTCTCCCATTGCCTACAGATGAAGAGCACAACTTACCTCTACATCGATGTTGAGGTGTCGTTGGTGGTGGAGATGTGGAGTGCTTCAGTGACATTAGATATTTTTGTTATCTCCACTGTTCTTCCATTTTTATCTCTCCTCTTTTGCTTCTCTTTCTTTGAGTTTGGGGGATAAGAAGGATGGACATTTGTCTTGATTAGGGTGTTTATGGATAAGGATATTCCAGTTGGAGGGGGAAAAGAAGATAAGGAAGGTTGGATCTTAATATTTTTGTTCCATAAGTTGTTGGTAGTTGATGATCCAAATTTATATTGCAATTAATTGAATTTTAAAACCCTGTTTTTAAGGCTATTTGTTAAGAGGAAAAAGCAAGAATCTTGCATGCCTATTTTTTAGTTAGGATTTCTAAGGTTATTCATTAGTTAGATTGTGACTTCTCAGTTTTAACTTTTTAAATGCATATTGCACATAGGGCATGTGTGTTTGGGGTTAGGTATGTGCATTTTCTTTTGTATCAATATTATTAGTCAACAGTAATTAAAGCTCTTTTAATATCTCTAATAATTCTTAAGGTCTTATTCTACCTTTCATCATAACTCTAGTCCTAATTGCCTCATTTTATCTAACTTGTGGATCTATGCACCTGCTTCAGTCATGTTCGTGCTATGCTAAATGGTATTAGTTGATTTATTCTTCATTGAAATTTGTGCCTTTGTGGTTCTTTAAATATGTAAAATTTCTATCTTATTTTATTTTCATATTAACTTTTCATAAATCTGTCTCAAATCATGATACATTGAGTGCACCAATCCATAAGTGATAGGAATCTGCCATGTCATATACCACCAACACAGTCAAACATCAACATGTATTTAAGAAAACACAATCTAACACATGAGATTGTTGCTAATGTGGGGATTGAGAAAGATCAATGCAGGTGACCTTACCTTTGCAAGCAAAAAGTTTAGTTTTGTGACTTGAATCCTTGACATAGATGACATACCGAGAACACGAGATTACTGCCAATGCAGGGGTGGGTATGGGGAGGGTCAATGTATGCAACCTGACCTCTATATTTAAATATAAAAGGTTATTTTGAAGATTTAAACCCTTTAACATATAGCTAATCAATAATGCTCTCTTTAGTTAACAACTGGTATAGGTACCATACTGGTTGATTCTTAATAAGTTCAATTAAGTTTTGGTTTAGGTACTGGTATCAATATTTGAATTCTTGATCTTGTTTTTTGGCAAAAGAGATTTCTTGATCTTAACATCCCTGTTTCAGATACTAAAATTTTGTACTTGTTATTTCAATACTGCTTGGTGTTTTGATCGCTCTGCCTCTTTCCTAGACTTGCCAAGCACTGGAATATCCATCTTTACACCAATATCTTTTATTTTTATGATTTTTGTTGTTTTGGTTAGATCCATCACTGAATATATTTTCTGTATGTTTCTATGTTTAGCTGCTAAATGGCATTCTAATAATTCCACTTCATGCATGCTATACTATGCATAGGCTTATTGCATAGTTGTATATACCACACCAGAAAAAGGCTCGCAACAATACCATTTCGCAGATTGGCAATTCTTGAATTTTACTTTCTGGTACTTAATGATTTTTGTGAAAATATCCTGTCTATAAATGAACTCTCATTTATAGGAGTCTCATGCATTAGGTGTATTTAACAAGGTCTGCCATACCGAATCATACCGCCTGGTACGGGCAGTATGTACTGGTCCGATAGGCTACCGGTATGAGGACCGTCCACTACCGGACGGACCGTGCTACAGTGCTACAGTATATACTGTAGCAGTGCTATAGTGCTACAGTGTACAATGTAGCAATGCTATAGTGTTGGTGTACAGTTCGGTACACCCTAGTGTACCGCTCGGTATGCTGGTACCGTACCATACCGAGCCAATCTCGAAACACCGGTACGGTACGATATTGCATATCTTGGTATTTAATTACTTTCAGTACACATACATTGCTACTAATTGGTTATGTTTGAGTGTCGTTGTTGCCAGATAGTAAGAGAATGCAAAAGAGATAAATCATGCATAAGTTTGCCCCATTGGTTGGGTTGGTCAACATTGGTTTGTATTTGTTGCACTAGAAAGTTATATGCTTGTGTAGTGCCATGCCATAGATGCCACTATATGACTTAGATCAGTTTGTAGCCTATACCGACTGGTATTGCATGGTAGAAAGTCAACACAGGTTTGTCATTCCTTCTGGTCTTTGCACCAATTAGCGTGCATATGAATCCTAGTCTTTGTCTTTCGAACACTTCTAATGAATAAATTATAATTAGATGCATTTTTGTCAAGTCCTAGTTATGGTTCAAACTTCAAACATCAATTGATCCTTGTAGGGTGTGATAATTGTTTATAGCAAGATTTGCCTTATCGATCTGAACTAATGTATTGGCCGATCGATGGTATGGTATGTACCGCTCCGTACCAACGTACTGTGTCAATACGACAGAGCATACCAATATCACAGAAAAATGGCCAAAAATAGCTCAAAAAATTCTTGAAAAATAGAGGAAAAGTTATATTAGGATTTTTAAGTTGGAAATAAATATAATTTAATATAATTTTAGCAAAAATAATCTAAATTAGGAAAGAATAGTGACCCATATCTTTTTCGAAGGGCTTTAAGGAATAGCTTTGTGGTATGTTCCGGATTGTCCTTCCATTGGTATTGAATTATCTACAAAGAAATGATTTGAATTGTAAGATTATTTGTTAAACAACTTAAACTTTAAGATTCAAATGAATCAAGTAATCGATCGATGGTATACTTGGTTCTACCACCAAAAAGAACAACGGAACTCCACGGGTGATGGATCGAGGTCCTCGATCTTATGTATCTGTATATCAATTATCAATTTGATATGTTTGTTTGACCAAGTCCTGAAAATAATCTCATGACATAGTATACTGATACACCATATGTCATTGGTGCATCAATGTAGTGATGGTCGTAGTCTAATTGTCGTGAACCACACATGTCTGAGGCGGCTCTGAAGGTAAGTACGATTGTGGCATGTATTGATGCGGAGCATAGAGAATATCGAAACTTCTACTTTTGCCACTGATTTGTTGCATCATAAAATTGATCATCGTACTATTGCTAAAAAGGGAATGATCAACTATCATCGTATTGTTGCTCGGAGAAGAATGACCAACTATCATATCGAGCTCCATGATCTGAATCTTGGGTGGCATACGTAAAGTATTGCTTCTCAGTCCATGCACTACCCTCAAACTATGTAGATGGGACAACCGACTCCCCGGTGTCATCGCTATCATCAATTGAGGCACTATTGCCCACGTCATTGCCATGTCTCTAGGTTGAGTGGGTTGTTGAATGCGGTTGAAAAGTTATTTACATACCTTTGATTAGAGTTCTTCTAACTTATGTGTTAAAACTCTCAATTAGCCTCCTAAGCTTGATCCAATCCACAAATCGTAACTTTATGAAGTTTTAAGAGAGTGTAAATGTGAGAATGAGAAAGAAGTAAGAAAGAGATTGAGAGAATATAAGAGTACGAGAGAGTGAAAAGAGGTGAAAGAGGTGAAAGAGTGGGGGAGGGTTTAAAAACCCTTTCAAATGGATCTAACCATTGGAAAGGGTCAGATCTGAGTCATTTGTCAGTAATGATCGAAATTCGATCGTTCTCGATTAGCACAGGTTAGTAACGTTTGGATTTTAACCATTATAGAACGGTACAGTCTTGTATGCGCTACAGAGCCTTTTAGTATATCCCACCTGGTACAGGGTGGTCGACATACTGGTCCCCTATCGGACCGGTATGTACCACTCATATTAGTCGATATACCGCGGTACGACAGACCCTGGTTTATAGTCTTATAAACTTTAATGTTAATTCAGTAATCTGCAAGAACTTATGGTCTTTCAACTGTTTCTTTTCACCAATCGGCTTGCTTACGATTACATTTTCTTTTTCCTTTAAACTCATCCAAAATGAACAAACAGACTATGAGTAAGATTATCACCAAGTAGCAGTGTAGTTATCTTATGAACATTTCTGGCTTTGAAACTTTTTTAGGAATCCCTGTTGTGCTGACCTATAAACTGTGAATAATGCCTTTCTGTTTGGGCAAACAAATTAGTGATGTGAAGTGCATTTGCAGGTTGTCCTCCCAGTAGGTTAGTATGAAAACAGATGGGTGGTGATACACCTTCAAGGCATTCCTGATGCCTTTTCTTTTTTACAATATTGTTCATTTTCTACTTGGCGTTCCCATTATTTCTTGTATGTATTGTACCCGTGCAACTGTTGATGTTTTGGTTTTTATCTTTGTTCAACTGCTGATGTTTTCGAGACTATTTCTTTTTTATAAAATTGAACCACTCATCTTAACTAAGTGCTCATATACTGTAGATGCACCTGTCAAGTCACTCGAGTTATCACTTGTAAACTATTGAGTATATATCCTTTCTCTGTGTCACGTTTAAAGCTTGAATCACATAGTGCTAGACTCATACCATAAGCCCTGTATTGCATGTGGACTGTTCAAAATTGGCTGGTCTGCATGTCAGTTTATGTTTGGACTGATAAATATCGGCAAATACATATTCAACGATCTTCGAACACTGGTTGCTTGCATGTTTGTTTCCATTGTAATATTCCTTACATCTAAAAGTTATTTTCCTTTCGATCTCATTCCACTTGAAAGAATTGTGAGGTCTTAAACATTTTTGACTTGTGAAAATTTCATTTTATCAGGAAAAAGTTCTCTGTAGTATTTGCTTTGATGGAGAGATATGCATGGTCCTCCTTCCTTGCCGGCACCGCACTCTCTGCAAGTATGTTCCATGAGCCATTCTCTGTGACACAAAATATCTGTTTGGCTCTTGTTCTTTTGGATATCGACTTGAATTTTGTTTGTAGGCCTTGCTCTGAGAGGTGCAAGAAGTGTCCTATTTGCCGTGTCTCCATCGAGGAGCGTATGCCAGTATATTATGTGTAGACCCTGACCAAGATCTTAACAAGAATGTGCAACTGTATAGCTTTATCATCTGTTAGAAAGGTTTTGGTGTGTGTTCTGTTCTCACCCTCGTATTGTACATAACACGGACATGATCTGATTACAACCTGTGTAAAGCTGTTTGTCCTGCATCAATTCTCTATCCGCAGAAAAACAGGAAAAAAAGAAAACAGAATCTCTTTTATTTCTTGATTGTCGGGTATATTTGTGAGAAATTTAGATTTACGCTTCCGTATCTGTGATGATTGGTCCAACTCTGGTGCAAATAATATTAGAGATGTAATCTGGAGAATGGTATGGTGGTTGGTTGCCCAAACAGATGGTTCAGGCTGTGCCGGGCTGTATTGCGCCGTGCCCCCATTGTTATTTAGGGTTTAGCCCAACGGGATTCACTTGTTCATGTGGTGAGATTGTTTAGAACATGCTCACCTTCTGATATATGGTGGGATTCACTTGTTCATATGGTGAGATTGTTTCGGCCACTCAAAGTCTCTGATATGCGGACTATGTCAGTCAAACTTACTAAGTAAGCAAGGGAATGTTTCTTCACTTTACAAAGAAAACTACTAGTCTTTCAGATGTGGCTTAGATACGAAAAATATAAGAGCGACTGCATCGAGCATGCTCTGGCGATAGTCTTGTTACTCTTGTAGGTGATGTTTGTGAAAGATACACCTTCATTTTGTTGAAGATTTGGTTCTCAAAAAATCAATGTCCAGTTTGTTGTAGATAAGAGTATCACCTTCATTTTGTTGAAGATTTGGTTCTCAAAAATCAATGTCCAGTTTGTTGTAGATCGGGGATCATTTCTTTCATATCCCATACAAAAAACAATGAAAGTAAGCAATGCAAACGCAACAGACATTACACACCCACACCACCACCGCCACCACCACCGCCACCACCACCGGCGGACAAAATGATCGCTCCGACAATCTTACGAGAGAAGCCACCACCGGAGGTGCTAACCAAGATAGGCATAGGCATCATCATGAGCTACAGCCTGCCGCCCAACTAAGTCGGCTACCCCAGCGGCATCTGATATGTACATTCATTGGAGACTGCACATTAATCTGATACTGCTATAGCTCTTCGAACACCATTAGATCCTGGAAGCAAAAGGAAGCAATCAGTAGCAGAAAGCCATGTAGAATCCTGTGAACTTAAAATGACATCCAGTTCCAGTCATGCACATGACCATGTGGACGGACACAAGGAGTTTAGCACTACCAACAAACATAGAGATCAGATTTAGAGACATTAAGGGTGTCTATCACAATCCAATTTCTAAAGGATAATGTCTTCTGTTTATAACCTTGTCCAACATTGAGAAGATTCCAAATGGCTATAATTGCTCTTGATGATACAACATATAGCAATATCAAACAGAAAAGGTATCGACCATGTAAAGAGATTATGAAAATGTAACACAAACCAAAATTTCGGACATTGATATCAAAATTATGCATGACATGTCATAAATAAAATCCATACAAAATAGAAAGATGTTTTCTGTTCTGTTATATAGAACTCAACGCATGTGCGGTCCTTTTAGCAAAACTATATAGAACTCAACACATGCGCCATAAACGGTCCTTGTAGGGAAATTAGATCATATGATATTTTTTACTTCAAAGAAAAGAAGCAAAAAATATATGATTCATTTCCCAGAACCACCTCTCTTTCCATAGCCTCTACCACCGCTTCTGCCACCTCCCCTTGGATGGCTGCCTCTTTTGTGGTAAAAAACCCTACCATTATCTGATGTTGACTGGGCTTTCAAGTGGTCAGGCATCGGGAGTATCATATCCACACATTTACAGAAGCTAAAATCATCACTAGTTCCATCGGCCCGAACAAGGAAGAAACATCGACTTTTAAATGTTGGGTGGTTCCGCACCTGGAATGCCTCAATTCCTGCTCCAATCTTCTTAGCAGGGTCAGGATGCCCCTTCTTCAACAAGTCCAGCAGTACCATGTGCTCATACTGCAAAAGTATAAGCAGTGTTTTATATTGAGAACATCAAATTTGTTACAAATTTCTTTGGTGATAGTTACAAATTAACACTTTATTTAAGAGTATGATCCAATACTAAAAATAAACATGATAAACAACGGAAAATAACAATCTTATGCAACATATTAACTAGAAATCAGATCCATACAAGAAGGATTCAAAATCATTTTAAGAATAACATATAGTCTTAATCAAATAATATTTACTCGAAAAAGCAAATCAATCAATAAGCAATAGATATATAGGAAGAGAAAAACACTAACAATGAGACAATCCACAACGATATGAAAAAGGTTTGGAGGATGGTATAAACACTAATGGCAAGTCAGCTGGTAAGGCCAAGAAACCAAATTCTTCAAAACTAATAAAAGATCCAACTTATCCAAGATGAGAAACTGATGTTACTGCAAGGTAAACAGTGCATACGATAGCTAAATATAATAACATATTTTATTCATGACATGCATGATTCCAATATTCATTCTCACATATTTCTGTTTTTTCATAGTCGATTCACAATAGAGTCACTACTAGTTTCCATTTCATAGATACTGGCATGATTGCACAAAAGCACTGTAACCAAATAAATTTACGATTTATCTTGCAATGTTGTGAACTTTTGTTTACTGGCATTCATAATTTTCATCATTTCTACAAACAGAGTCAAAAAAAATTTTGTTCCGATTCACAGTCAATAAATTGATCCGGATCAAACAATCTATACTTTACTTGAGTAACCACTTTTGACCCCTGATGGTTGGAGGACAACAACCAACAGTCACTTAGTCAAGATCAATTTCATTTCATTCTCTGCAAGTTTTTAGTACCTCTTTTATGAACTTTGCTTCCACTAGTTATTAGTCTTGCTCCTGTCGCATTGTTCAATATTGGTTCCCAGGCCAAAAAATGACGCATTTTAGTTCGATTTATTCTCTGTAATGTTTTTGTTGCATCTTGTAAATTGCTTGTAGAGTTGTAGTGCCTGCCAAGATCGGCCAAATTGCCACAAAAATCTTAGTATCTGCTGCCAGATAGGTTTTCTTCCATCCTATGTACTGTCAGAACTTTACCTTTGCATCATGTTGTCCCCTCCAGTCAACCTTATAGGCTAAGTTCACAAGGCTAGGATCAGGATGGGTCATAGGATTTGATGTCATGATCCTGGCAAAATGGACCAGACTGGGACTGGAATTTTCAACAATGACCAATAAATCAGCCAAGATCATACGAAACTCAATCAACATCAATAAAACTATTTGGAAATTTTCTGGGATCAGCAACAAGCTGGATTAAAGCTAGGATTGACTTGTATTAAACTAGAATCCAACCGAACAATCAATTTTGCATCAGAAATCAATTGGCTCAGCTGCAACAAATTCAAGATTGTCTGATTCTGATAATGACAACTGAGTCTGGGCAATCCCTTCAAATATCAAGGGTTTAAAAGTCTGACTTGGTTGGTCCCTCCAGCGCTTATAATGTCAAAGTGATGATGACAACCAAGTCTTAACAATCCCTTAAATATCAAGGGTTTGAAAGTCTAACTTAGTTGGTCGTTCCAGAAATTATAATGTGAAAGTAAACAAAATGTTAAAAATACCAACCCTTCCTTAGTTGTTACTGTATTTGATAACTCAAGACATGACACACCACATCCAATATTCTCAAGAATTTCAAATATTTATATGGAGTGACCAGATGATCCTTTTAGCCTGACCAGAATTCTCTCTTGAACATAAAAGCACATGCATAGAGCAAAATCATTTCATAATCCATTCCAACATGCTAATAGAGGTCATTTCCACTTCTTAGCTTGTAAAACTATAAAAAGGAATTGGGTTCTCCAAGGTCAACATGATCAGATGAACAATATCATGTTTTCAGTTGTTACATTCACAAACATTTAATAGAGCCTCAAGGCACTGCCTTGAGAAGACCCAAATGTGATTACGAATAAACAAGAAAAAACTTGAAAACCAAATGAACATACATGTCTTCCTACATAGGACTATATAAAAATTCTACTTTTGTCTTCAGAAATTTATTATTCCTTGGTTTAATGGTGAACAATCAAGAAGCTACATAAGGATGCAGCTTCTGCTTCCTTTTCAGAACAAAACATATAAAGGAATTCATATAAAATATTACTTCCTTTTCTAAGGGTAATATACAACCATTGAGATCTATATGGATCTTTTGTCATCATTGAGATCTATAAAAAGGCATATGTTTAGTTCAGTTCAGAGTACTTAAATCTTTATTTATAGTTTCTATTAAAATCTTTTTAGGTCTTCCTCTACCTCTTCTTGTACTGCTAACATTAATCATTTCATCTCTTCTGACTACTACATCCGAAGGTCTCCGAAGCATATGTTCATACCATCTTAAAATATTTTCTATCACATTATCTTCTATCGAAGATATCTAGTTATTCATAAATAATAAAAGTATTTCTTTTCCTATCTTTCCTAGTAGCTCCACACATCTATACAAATATTCTCATCTCCGCAACACAAAAAATTTGCAAATGTTGTTTCTTGACTACCCAACACTCAGATCCATAAAGCATCGTTGGTCTCACAGCTATCTTAAAATAAATTATCTTTTAATTTCAAAGATATCCGATGATCACACAAGACTCCTAACGTCCCTTGCCATTTGACCACCCTGTTTTTATTATATGAATAATATCTTTATCGATCTCTTCATCTTATTCAATAAATAATCTAAAATACCTAAAGCTTGTACTTAAAGGGACTTTTTGTCCATCCAACTTAATTATATTTTCTTATCTATTCTTAGAATCACTAAAACTGCTTTTTATATATTCAGTTTTAGTCCTACTTAATCTAAAACCTTTAGTTTCTAAGGCTTATTTTCATAGCTCAGGTTTATAATTAATTTTACTTAGGTTCTCATCAACTAAGACAATATCATAATAAAATAATATACACTAGGGAGGTTTCTATCGTGTAAATGACTAGTAATTTCATCCTCTATCAATGTGAAAAGGTAAGAAATTAATGTGGATCATTGATATAATCCTATGCTAATAGGAAACTCACTAAACATACTCCCTATAATTCTAACACTAGTAGTTATATTTTCTTAGGGTAATATAAGCTGAAAATTTTCTTTCCGAACAAAACAATATGGCAAATGCAATTAGCAAATTAGATCATTAGAAAGCTAGAAGTTGCAGACTCAAAGGTGTCATCAGCAGAGAACAATCTTTCATTGCATGTTGACTATGCTCACAAGCTGAGATTCAGAAACATTTTCTCAAGATTAAAAATCTGATCATCTAAGAATCCTTCTCCGACGCAATTAAGAAAAAAAGATTTAGACAAATTCAACTATATAAATTATCTCCCCATTGGTTTAATAACAAAAAAAGACATCTTATATTCTACCAACAAAAAGAAAGAAAATTTGCTATAAGAACAAAACGCCTCACCTTGTTGATATCCAGATCGGGCGACCAGGAACGGAGAAGTTTCAAGAAGTACTCAAACATCTCCACCGACGACTTAAATCCCTTCGGCCCGACATTCGCTGCCTCCGATTCCCTCCCGTCCCCACACCCGCCCACCTCCAGATCGCCTCCACCTTCCCTCTTTCCGTCAACTCCATCCGTCTTTTCTTCTTCCCAATACCCCTCCACCTTCTGTCTCTTCAAACCACAGTCCTCCTCGTCGCCCTCTTCTCGTCCCCTTTTCTCAGTGCCGCTTCCGCTCTCGGACGGAACCTCCTCGGCCACAAGCCCGCCTCCCTCGGGGACCTGGGGCTTCTCTGCGTGCTCGTCCCCCATGATCGAAGAGAAGAGCTCCGCGATCGGCGGAGGCTCCAGCTCGTAGGTTCAATTGATCAAACACTAACCCTAACCGGGTTTCAGGGGGCGGCCGTCCGGCCGGCCGGTACTACAATATAACATACGACTTGTCACGTGAGGAGGAGGTGATTATCTATTTATTATCCTTTTTTAAAGAAGAAAAAAAAATACTATAGTTAATTAGTTAACTTGTTAATTAATGAACTATAATTTCTATCAACAAAATAAAATGCAGTCAACAAATATTCCATCATGCTAATAATAAATTTTGTTTCATTTTAATAATATGCTATAAAGTGACTCTGCTAAATAAGCTCAACAATGTTGACTTAGTTTGATTGCTTTGCCAAGTATTATTGACTTAATTGTGGATAAATGTGAGACATCCAACCAACCATTGCCATGTCATGGATATTATTTGTCAATCATTCATGTGGTCACTCGTCCAGTCAACCAAATACGGCATCAAAATCTGCCTCATGAGAAGGCAGTAAAAGATTCCTTGACTTTTGGGTCTACTTTAGACGAAGTCAACTTCCTTGTCTCTTCCCCTTCGTTAGTATGTATGCCAAATAGTGATCCAATTAGCACATCCTGCGTTTGGTCAACTTGGCAAAGTCAACCATAAGAACATCAATTTGCATTAATGAGGTGTGCAGAAAAACTGCTCCAAGAGAATAGCTGCTGTCTTCGTCGGTCTCAACCCTCCGCAATTACTTCCGAAGACTGCAATCCTAATAACGAGATACTGATACATTAAAAATACTAAATGATAATGGTCACTAACTTAGGAAATTATGTCAGAAAATTCATCCGACCTTATGATTCAGCAAAGTTATTACAGAAGCTGCTTAATTTGGATGCTCATAAAGCTGAAGAGACTAAGCTTAGCGGTTCCACACATTCTCATGGCGATCGATCAAGACCGGCGGTTCAGTGGTCGAGCTTCAAGACCACCGCCAGCCCTCCTCTCCAGCTTGTAAGGCATGTGTGTTCCCAAGATCATGTCCCATGTGATGAAGAATGGCTGCGAGAAGTTGTACTTGTTGCCGTAGAGCTGATGATGGACATCATGATACGCGGTGTTGTTCCAGAAGAACAGGTGGAAGATGTTCCCGGGAAGCCACAGCCCGCAGTGGTCATCTATCCCTTTGATGGTGGCGAAGGAGAAGAAGAAGATGGAGGTTCTGGGCGACATGCCCGAGAGAATGAAGGCGAGGCCGCCGCCGAAGGTGTCCAAGAGAAGCCCTTCTACCGGGTGGTTGTATTGGCTGCCGAAGGAGTATGGGACGACGAGGCGGTGGTGCCATGAATGGACGTGGCGGTACAAGAACTTGTTCAGGTGCATGTATCGGTGCCAGAAGTATTGCCATGTATCGAGAACGAACATGGCGACGACGAACTGCCTCACCAGCGAGAGAAACGAGGCCGAATCGCTTGTGGCTGCTGCGCTGTGATCATCACCTGTGATCTATACATGCACAAGATGAACTCATTGAGTGACGTTGATAGAAAGAGAGAAAGATCATGGAGGCACGTTGGTGTTCGACCTTAAACACGAGGAAGGCAACAGCAGCTTGAACCAGCTGCTGGAGAAGAACTCCCTTCACCACCTGGAGCTTGGAGACCAAGTTCTTGACGTCCTCATCTTTTCTCGAGTGCAACCGATAGTTGTCGAGGGAGCCAAGCATCAAGTACACGCCGGAGTAAACCCAGTAAACCAGAATGGGCACTACAATGGCTAAGATCTCATCGGAAGGCAGAGAATACTCCATTGCCACACAAAGCTCACGATCCCTTGGTGGTGGTGGTGGTGGTGGTGGCTTTGCTTCTGTAGTTTATATAGATCACGAAGAGCAAGTGTTTGCTCTCTCCATCTTCTTCTGAGAGAGTCCTCCATTAAAAGTCAGCTAAATACAGCCGACTACCTTGAAATTTAGACTTCCTATAGCGTAGAACCATTTGAAATGATCCATATATGGCTTGGCATTGATGCAATCTCGAAGGGTGCAAAGAGAATCCAACAAGTTGGACTTGACCAATGACCTGAGTAGATTTGAGGTTAACAAAAGGATTAAATGTGTGCAAGAGATTCATAATAATTAATTGCACGTAGTTGGCTAATAAACAAAGATTAGGGAACATGCAGAAGGTAGCAGCTGCATGCATGGCTGTAATATGAACCCAATATAGGAAGTGATCAAACTTATGCACTCCATTTTTGAACGTCAACATGCAGTAAACTGCAAGTGGGGCTGTTTCCACATGGTTGAAGAGTAGTATTTTGCTTAGGTAGTCTGGAAACAGCGTACCAAGTGGTCATAAATAGGGGCAATTTCCTTTGATGTTTCAGAAGTTCTTGAGAAGACTTTGATCCAATATTTCATGAGGAGCAAACACTTGTTGACTGTTTTCCAGACACCTTAAATTAGGTATGTAAAATCACATTTTGAACAGCTTATTGATTTTATATCAAAAGTGAAATATATAGTCATTGGTCATGTATCCATACAATGTATCTCTGTGTCATGTATCTATAAGAATAATATTCTTATAAATATAAAAAATCATGTGACACCTCAGTTTGAGATTTAATATTAGTATTTTCGGTTAGTAATTCAAATGTATAAGTTAATGAATCAGTTATCACATCGGATCGAATATCGATAATAAATGGTATCAGAGCGTATCGATCATTTGGCATAGTAAATTAAAGGTCATAAGGTCGTTGATCACATATCCAAATAACCTCACAGCATTAACATTTCCATGTCAGTTGCTATATGTTCAAAGTTGAGCTAAACATGCTCAAATACTAAATCTTAGGATGTTGCAGTCCCAGAATGTGGATTTTGGTCCAGGTGATTAAGGCTTTTATTAGAGTTCATTCAGCAGTAAGTAAGTATGAATGTATCCCTTAGAATAAAGTGGATTTCACTGATCAGAAAACACTTGCTGAAGTTACTGGTGGCTTGGGCAGGATTAATTATTACTGCAGTTGTGGGTTGTATTTTTGATCCATTTTGGCTCTTTTGTTTGATCTATATAATTTATGTGCAAGTTTTATACAATTTGTAGGACTTGTAGGTTTTTCGGTGTTCTGAATTTTCTATTATGCTGATCTATTTTTATTTCTGAGTATGATACAGAAATATAATTCACAAACATCTGATTTCTGTAACCAAAACCAGATCAAATTTTTTGAGAAAATTGTACCATTGCTGGTGCATCAACACAGGAAAAAAAATGGATATCAGTGTAAAAGACTTGGAAATATGATCAACTTAATTATTTTTGGAGAATCATTTCATCCTTCATAGATATCATCATTGGTTTCACTTATGAAGAAGGAAAGGAAACTGTAGATTACAGTGGAATAGACTACAGTGGTGGTGATGATACTTGATAGGTTGTGATCTGTTGAGTCATTAGGTTCCACAAATGCAGAGCAGCAAAAGCAACAAATTGGCTTGTCACTACTTATGTAAGAACTTGCAGTATGCCATTTCACTGTGCTAATAATTGGACTTCCTCTGTTCAAAGAAATTTCAACACAGGTAACATGAAGTTGAGCCTCATCTCTTGTCACTAGCATGGAGGAGACAAGGAACATGGCATATACCCCACAAACCATATCCACATTATTATATGATGGTGGGGAATCTCACTATGATGGCTAATCTGAGAACCTTAAATATAATCTTCTGAAACACTCATGAATGAATTTGATTTCTGACACTATGAGAACATACTAATACTCTTGAACTTGTCCATGAAGGTCCTCCTTACCAGTGAAGATGTAAAGCTGTTGATCCTGATCTCTATCCACTCTGTTTCCCATTTCTAGATAAGTGAGAGCACTTAATCCAATCCTAGGCTTGCAAGACCTTATCCAAACAGTACATAACATTAGATAGCTTTAGCCACAGAAACTTGCAGATAAAGACTTAAATGTCTACCAAAACTTCCACCTCCTGTAGAGACATGAATCTTATCTTCATATACACAAAGGTATAGATTGCCCCACAAGATAAAATCTGAGTCTAGATCACATCTAAGGAAGTAAAGAACCAAAAGATGATGTGGGTGTCACTACATTTCTGGTGCAACCATACTATCATCATTATCTGCTACAAAGGTAGATAATACTTTTTCCTTTTCTTTTTGTGGGTCATTGTAACATAATAGAAGGAAGGTCAAAAGGGCACTTGCAATTGCAGCAGTTGCTTCACCCACTTTGCATGACCCACCAAAGAAAAACCTTAAAAAAATTGACAGAGGACTACTATAAATACCACATCTTGTGACCCAATCACACTGCACAAAGCTATAATTCAGAGTCTTCCACAGGAGCCTCATAAACCTCTTGCTCTCGGATATCATGTTGTCCATTGGAGCCAGCTATGCCCAGCTCCATGTCCAACAAGAGCACTACAAGCAGAAGATCAAGAGAAAGGAAGGGCAGCAGAAGCCCAAGGGACAGAAGAAGGGAACTGAAGGAAGAGTCCACCCTGATGGCTCATCACCAAGACAAGCCAAGGCTGATCTCAACAAGTGTAACCCATGAAAGAGAGGAAAGATAAAGAGAGTCATGTTTGATGCACTTACTATGTGTAGGTGTTGGTTGTAGAACTGCTGTTGTTTGCAAATTAGTTGCTGGTTTAACAGGACTTATTATTTTGGCTTGTCCTTCTTCAATTATTTTCCCCTTGTTTATTAGATTTGGTGAATGTTTGGAAGAAGTTAAAAGCAGCCTCTTTGCAAGCAAAAGCTTGGGGAATATTAAGTCCAAATTGTATGAATGTTTGAAATGGATTAAGATGGATCAAATCTTTTAGTGACCCTAAATTATTATTATTAGTTTTCTTCATTACACTTGAGCCTAATATAGTAGCTAAATCCAACATTTAGTTTTCTTTATAATATCCACTAATTCCTCTAACCTTATTGCATCTGTGTCATTATAGATGGGATCATGTTATTAGTGAGATAAATATATAGTCCATATGTTATTACATATATTACTAGATTTAGTCAAACTTATCACTATTATTTGTTCTCAAGTTATGCTTATTCAGTCTTAAAAACTATTAATATATGGGAATTAATACATTAGAGATCTTTTCTTTTACTTCTTTGTTGCTTTTTAAAGTTGAGAAAGAGCCCCTTCATCTTCACACCCATGTCCTCTAGTGCTTAAATGGCAGTGGTGATTGGTACTATCTCCCCCTTCATTTTGTTTTTTTCTTCTGTCAATCATGCATTGTCATCAAGAAATACTGATCTTTTGCTACCCATCTGTGTTTAAACGTTACATGCCTGTCAATGGTTGTCAACAATTGCATGCACTTGGGAGAAATGACTGGGTTTTGTCTGTGAGGGCTGTGAGCTCAAGGTCAAGAAACACTTTTCTTCAATGAAATGTGTTGCCTTCTTTCATCTTTGCATCCACTGCAAGTCCAATTATACCTCACTTGTGTTCATCCTTCAAATTCCTCACTTGGGCCATTCTTGTTGGTAGATGGTTGTGGCCTCTGTCACTTGCTATGTTGAGCCAGACAATGTCTTTAAAGAATGTCCGGCCTTCAGGAAAGATGTGAGGTGATAAATGATCGATGTAATCATGATGAATTGAGGAAGTTGATCTTGCACAATAGGGGTTGTCATGAATGTGCCCAAGAGAATCCTCATCTGATGCTCAAATCAGAGTTTACTTTGAGGTAAAGAAAAGACTACATGAAAAATACAATAAAAATTCAGAGAAACAAATGATATTTCTACCTTAGAATGAGTCTTCTTTTATAGAATCAAAGCTTGCTAGGTTGTTGTGGAAGATTCTATCAATCCATTGATAGAATAATTTCTTGTCTTGATTTAGACATAACATAACAAATAACCTGATTGGACTATGATATAATGACAGAATCTGTGTTGAATGACTATAACCATATGATCCACATATCACTCTATGATTGGTGTGAATTATGATGTCTGTTTTTAGCAAAGAAACATGGTAGAGAAAAATTAGGAGGATTCTTTCCTCGACCACATCTGATCTCTTAGCTCCACATTGTTCACACAATATTGCACATGTAAATAAAGTTCCCTGTGTTAGATTGACCTTTCACCTTTCATTGAATGAGTTGTAGCCTTAGTTGAAAGGAGGAATGGGTTTGGGGCTAGTCTACTTCAGTGTGCCAGATAGGAATGAATTGTAGCTGTGTACCACTTTGAGGAGGCCATTCTGAAAGCTTCCTTCATTGCTATTACCTGTGACTAAGAAAGCAGTTTGAGTGAAGTAATCATATAAAAAAGCTTTCCATTTATTTTTCTCTTGGTCAGATTCCTGCTGATAGAAATTTTCATGCTCAGTGCAGGAAATTGCTGAAGATATTGTAGGCCTCTGAACAATACAAACATTAGGATACCAGGATGGGTGCATGCAAATTTATGAATCATGCAGGAATGATTTATACAATTCAAAATCTAACTTGAGAGATGATCCGATACCCCAGCGATAACTAGCTTTTTTTTTTCTTTTCCATTTCTTTTTTTTTTTCTTGTAGTGCATCACATTAGGAAAACTGCTGAGGCGTAGAACTTTTCAGTAAAGCTTCTCATAATTTCTTTACAATCATAAGATGCAGTTCTGCATAGCTAATTTCTATCATATTTTTCTTTTTATTTTCTTTTATTCTCTCAATAATGACATAACTATTCCTTAACTAGTTGGCTGTACATCAATCCATCATTTTCTCCATGTGTTTTGATGAGTTTGATTAAGCGATAATTCT